CTTACTCCTGGCAGTGTTTGGGGGACCATACTGGATGCTGGGGGTTGAACCCGGGTCAGTCGCGTGCAAGGCAAATGCTCTACCCTTTGTACTATCGCTCTGGCACCTGATTCCGTAATTCTTTTACCAGGGTTTCCTCCTATCCTAGTTTTTTTCCATAACCAAGACTTCTATCTACTATGGATTTAGGCAGGGTGTGCTTATACGCGTTCCTCCCTCCCTTTTTTTTTATACCTTCATGTAAATGGAGCAGCTAGGGAGATAATTAGCTACTAAAATTTTTCTTCTCTGAATGCTTGCCCATGTTATATTTCTCTTCTGTGTGCAGGGAGGAGTTGATGGGGAGAACAAGAAAATATGTTTTAATAGTAAAATTTTAGACCCTTTGGAGTATTCATAAATAAAAAGCAAGCTTTCCTGAAGAAATCTTTAGCTTTCAAATAACTGGATTTCGATAGACCTATCTTCAGCAAGGTAAAAATGAGGTTGATACAATAACAAAGGCTGCGAGTAATTTATATTAATACCTCCAGTACAGCAATACCTCCTCCTTGCCCGACGCAACTCAACACTGTGACTAAGCAAAAGCAGGTAACCAGGGATGCTGGTCTCTCACTGGAAAGGGCTCTGGGGGTCAGACTTCATGAAGCCCACAGCTGCAGTCTGATCCCCCCAAACCATTCGCCCTCCCTACCATTCCTCCTCCTTCAAACATTGCTCTGCTTTGTACCCTCCCTCACAGGCTGCTTTGCCGTTCCCAGATTGCTCCATAAATGGAAGCAAAAACCACGGACTCTCTCTCCTCTGTCTTCTTTCACTGAGCCTGAGTATTTTGCGATTCATCCCCGTTGCAGCGTATATTATTAATAATGCATTCCTTTTCATTCCCACAGTTTTACTTCTTCACCAACACACACAATTTGCTCATTCATGAACTTGTTCATGGTTAACTGTTATCATCAGGAGGGTGACCAGGAACCGAGCCATTCTGAAACTGCATATCCCAAGTTTTTGTAAGGGGAGAGTAAATAATAGTAATAATATTAATAATAATAATAAACAAACCCAAAAAACAAGTCACCCAGAAACAAACAACATGCTCCAGGGTGAGACAGAGATTCACATCCTCGCCTGCCCCCCGCCCCCCACTAGTGTGCCAAATGCTCACCCAATTCACTCTGACTGTCCATGTAAAAGCATGTCCACTAGAGAAATAAATGGGTTTGGGTTGCAGCCTAATCACTGACAATCTGGTCTGGATCGTACCCACTTCGTAATAGGTCTCATCCCTCCACTATCTGGAAAGCTGTGGGTTCCACTGGGTCAAAGTCCTGGAGAGAGACACTGTCCTAGAGCAGACTCCTGCTATACCTTAACAGACAGCTCAAGGCAAGAGCGACCTGTCCTACCGAGGCAGAGGGCTGAGTGTGGGAAGGAGGTGAGTCTGCAGGAACCTGGCTGGCAGGAGAGAGAGGGTCAGCAGTACTCCGGACCCAGCCGCTCGGCCTGGCTTCCTGCCGTGCTCTGCCATGACAAACCTTTCCATCCAGCCTCTCTGCTCTCATACCAGAGCTACCCTCTTTTCACCGGGAGGCGGCAGTGGCCCTCCCAGGTGGTGCTCTAGAGAGACAGGGGTACTGGGGAAGTGGGGTGAGTCCCCCCAAGGCAATGATCACCAGCCAATAAGGTCTACAAGGGCTCAGGGACGCGATGATGTTCGGGAATCCATGGTGCAGGCCACATCTGGGTGCTGGACGCCTCCCTGGCCATACCAGGAGTAAGCCCTGGGCACAACAAGGTGTGGCCCCCAAAACAAACACACACTCACACACATACACCATGACCACACCAAAAAAAAAAAAAAGAGTGAAAAAAAGAAGTTTGTCTTGACTCAGAAACGGCACACAGGGGCTGGAGCGATAGCACAGCGGATAAGGCATTTGCCTTGCACGCAGCAGACCCGGGTTCAATTCTCAGCATCCCATATGTTCCCTGAGCACCGTCAGGAGTAATTCCTGAATGCAGAACCAGGAGTAACCCCTGTGTATGGCATGACACCCCCTACCCCGAAAAAAAAAAAAAAGAGGATCTGGAGCTATAGCACAGCAGGGTGGGCGTTTGCCTTGCACACAGCCAACCTGGGTTTGATTCCCAGCATCCCATATGGTTCCCTGAGCACTGCCAAGGATAATTCCTGAGTGCAGAGCCAGAAGTAACCCCTGTGCATCACCGGGTGTGACCCAAAAAGCAAAAGAAAAAAAAAAACAGAAACAACACAGTTGACCCTGAATGTGCCTGATCTCATCAGAAATGGCACACATGGCAGACTGAGGCAGAAAAAGGATGCTGCTCACCTACCCTGAGCAATGGGCGGGTAATTCTGTGATGAGACTCACCAAGCATCAGGAAGACAGCGAAAGGGAAATCTCCACCCATTGTGATTAACTGGGATCACGGGTTTTCTGATTCTCTGCATTATTCACTAGCCAGGGCCCTGATCCAACAGAAAGTGCTGCGGGAATCCCTCTCTCCTTTGCTAATGTGCCTCCGGGTCTTCTGAGGCCTTGTTTTTCATCAAGCCACTATTGCTTTGGTGGAAGCAAATCCGCACTGCCTCGTGTACTACTCTTCTCGTAAAAAGTCACTGTACTGTTTCTGAGACCACCTTCCTTTCGGGCACAGGGAGATCTTCCACATGCGCTAGGACCTCCCGTGCCCAGGAAGCAGTGCCATGGGTCTGCACTTGGAAATTGATCACCATCGCAGGCATTTCATTTTGTCTGCAATGGAGTGATCACTGTCTTCTTAAGGTTGTGGTGGTGATTATTCTATTAGACAACTCAGGGTCAATCCCTGGCGCCGCATACACTGAGCTCCTAAATGCCTGCAAGGTATCATTCCTGAGCAGAGCCAGGAGTAAGCCCTGAGCACAGCTGGGTTTGTCCCATTAATTTTTACTTAAAAAATAATGAGGAAGATTACATAAAGGTAAGTGACATAAAAGTGGACACCTGGTAAGTGAGCAGTGCAAGGATGACCTGATCTGCTGTAATCTGCATTTCTTTACAGCTGCCAAGTTTACAGGCTGGAATATACACCTGTGAAATGCATACCTGATATAGCTCTGGGTGGTTAAAAAAACTGGCTGTTCATAGCAGCCTTATCACAGACTTTCCCGAAGGTTGCAATATCAGTCCCTTAGGGTGTGCTGGAATAATCCAAGAAGACAGGGGTGTGTGTGTACTTACTGTGGGTTTAAAGGTAAATTTGGGGGTGTGTACTAATATATTTTTTTCCTGAAAAGGGGGAAGGGGAAGGTACACCAAATAAATTTGGAAACCTCTGGTTAGACATAATAATGCCAAGGAAACACCCACATGTCCATCAGAGGTGAAATCATTTATATACATATATATACAGTCTGTGCACACAACAAAATATTATTCAGCTATTAAAAAAAGGGAATTCTGATATCTGCTATAACATGGATAAGCCTTGCAGACATTATACTGAAATAAAAAGTCACAAAATAAACTACTATTTATGACATTTTTATGAAGTAACTAAAGGAGTCAAATCCATTGAAACTGGAGGAGGTGATTACCAAGACCTGGTGTGGTTCATGGGTGGAGAAGGAAGTACTAGCTCGATTAGTTTCAGTTTTGCAAGAAGAGAACTTCCTGCAGATGGAGTAGAGATGGCGGTATAAAACTGAGATTGGGCCTACTGCCACTCAATTCTATATTTTTAAAATAACCAAAACAGTATATTTTATGCTACATACATTTTACCACTTAAAAGTAAAAATCTTTTTGAAAAATGTGCTTCAGTCAAATGCTAATGAATTCTGAGTATGGTAATAACAGGTGTATCCTCCTGTTAAAATTGGGTTCTTGAGGCAGTTATGCCAAAATATATTGATGTATTAATAAGCTAGCATTTAGTTTAGTATTTTATGGTACCAAGTACTTGTACTTTGATTAATATAGATCTAATACAATACAATTATTTCTGAGGTAAACAATTTCTCTAGGACAGCATGTTTTTTAATTTATGAACACTCCAAAGGTTATAATATTTTATTATTAAAATATATTTTTATTCTCCTACTGACACAAAACAAACTAATTTTTTTTAATGCTGGCAGCGTAATTATCTAAATGTTTCACATGCATGAGAATTATTGGGGCTATGGTGCTGCCAGCAGGTCAATCTGTACCTGTGAAATTGATCCCCAACACCAACTGATCCCTTGAACACCACAGAAATCTCAAACAAAAATAAAAAAGGAGTCCTATTCTGTCCTGCTCATCTCTCAGAGAATTTTCTTCTCTCAGAAAAGTCCAATGAGCTGAAAAGTTTCTAGTCTTCACTGAAAATGTGATCAATAGTCTATGTATATAAGAACACGGTTTCCCTTCTTAAAAAAATTATTAGAACTCAGAAATGGTAAACTGTCAAATTCTTATTCCAAGCACCTTCAAGTTTCCTCACAGATGATTCTCAAAATACAGCATAAAGTCTTGGCCGGTAACCATAAAGATTCGTCACTACAATGTTTGTTTTGGTCAAGGCCCCCAAGAAATTGATGATCTAGAAGATGGGAAACTATCTAAAAGATACACATTAAAAAAAATACACATTTTAGTGTAAAAACAGGTGAACAACTGAAAAAAGAGAAAAAGAAACTCATGCCTACTTCCCCCATTTTCACTGGTACACACTGAAGGAACACTTTTGAAAGGATACTTTCCTCAAGTCTTGAGAAACACTATTGCAAATTGCAAACTGTTGATATATATTTTACCTTGTTTATCTAGATTCACATTAAGTATTAGATGTGATGACCCCCAAAAATCTAAATAGAGGACTTTTGAATACTGCATCTGTATCAAACAAGATTCAATTCAAAGACATCTACCCTCCATGAAGATAATCACATAAGGAGATTATTTATAAGGACAATCAGTGAGAGACTGTCTCATGGGTAAATGCCATACCTCGGCTCCACCCATCCACTTAGGTTCGTCAGGAAACTCGGCACACAAAATATCTTCTGACTGATCAGTCCCCAGGACATGGTAGTAGAGCTTTTGGTGGAGATTTGTAGATGTCTCTGTGCCTGCAAGACATAAAAATGTAGAACTGCAGTTGGTGACTTTGTTTTTCATTTTTGTTTTTGGATCACACCAGCGGTGCCCAGGGGTTACTACTGGCTCTGCACTCAGGAATCATTCCTGGCTGTGCTCAGAAGATCATCTAGGATTCCGGGGATCAACCCCAGATCAGCAATGTGCAAGACAAACACCTGACCCACTGTGTTATCACCCTGGTATCCAGGGTTGGTGTTTTTTTTTTTAAAAAAAATCTCTTCCAGTCGTGTCATACAATGCTAATTAAAAAGTTATGTGTCTGTTTGCAGGATACAGGCTAATATACAAAAGCCATTCACTCTCCTATACAATGTTCCCCATACTCTCTCTCTACTTTTGAGCATTATGGTTTGCAATACAGACACTGAGAGGTCATCATGTTTGTTCCATTATCTACTTTCTGCACACATCTCCCATCCCAACTGATTCCTCCAGCCATCGTTTTCTTAGTGATCCCTTCTCTATTCCATCTGCCTTCTCCCCTCTGCTCATGAGGCAGGCTTCCAGATATGGGGCAATCCTCCTGGTCCTTGTATCTAATGTCCTTGGGTGTCAGCTTCATAGTATGTTATTCTATACTCCACAAATGAGTGCAGTCCTTCTGTCTGTCCCTCTCTTTCTGACTCAAAAAAAATTTTTTTTTAGAAAAAGACTGTACAAGATGAAGATCACAAACACTGGTAATGTAACAGGTGAATAGGATACTTAGAAACAGACCTACATAAATTCCAATTATCTCTGACAAAGAAGGCAAGTCAACAGAGAAAAGATAGTTAAGTACAACTCTACAAAACTTCCAGAAGAAAACCCCTGAAAAAGAAAATCTAGAGACCTTTAGTTTGGTGATGCCATTTTAGATACAACACTGAAGAAGCCATGTGCTGTAAAAAGAAAAAAGAAGAAGCTGGACTTCATTAAAATTTCTAATCTGCAAGACACTGTACAGAGAACACAAAGCCACATCACAGACTTGGAGAAAATGTTTTCAGAAGTTGTATCTGATAAAATATTGCTACCCAAAACCTACAAAAGAAACTCTTAAAACACAACAAAACAAAGGTAGGAACGTGATGGCAAAATAGCGAGAACCGGTCTCTGCATCCTCCTGCTTTCATGGCAAAAAGTTGGATTAACTCCAGAAAAGGACCCCAAATTCTTATGAACAAGGGGCAGAGCTGAGAGAAAGACTGGAGACAGATGCTTTTGCCAGGAGAGGAACTCCCAGCACAGAGCACCAAGCTGCCATCGAGAAGAGAATTTCTACGATGCAAAACTTTCTCTGGGAACAGGGATGACTGATTTCCTAGTGTCCCCCATTCTATAGTCATATCCATACAACACTAGAACAGGAAGCAAGAAACTAAACCAGGCACTGAGGAACATACAGGTATCATCCTGGTGACCCCTCAAAGCCTCCCTGCTGGGCGCCATGTGAACAACTCATCAGCCCAGTCACCAGCAGGCACTGGCGGACTCAACTTGCCAAAGATTGCTGGTAAGAGGCGATACGAGATCTCGCTACTCAGAAACAAGCTACCTCAAACAAGTTGCCTTGGTGGGCTCGAACCACACCGGTGGAACAGCTCAGCTCCAGCAACCCCAGGCTAAAACCTGAGGCTTGAGACATTTGCTTCCACTAGCAAAGACATCTAGCCCCTCTTGGTTTTATTCTGATTGCCAGTAAGCAGACAGCACCCCTAAAGCAGAAAGTAGGCCATGGGCCACCCCTGAGGAAGAGTCAGCAAGGGGAGACAATGTGCGTGCTGTGAACTCCTGCTCAGCCCCTGAAGGCTCGCACTGTAACCAAAGGCCCATCCGTCCCTCATGCCCACCTCACACAAAGTTGTCTCAGTCACAACCAAGCCTGACTGAGCACAGAAGGGCAAGCTGGGGCTGCCAAGCACTAGCAACTTTGAATGCCTCACTGCCACTCTGGTCCTCTCCATCCTGGTGTGTGGGTACCTCTGGGCATGTCTAACTTGCTTAAACTTGGCACATAACTAGTTGTCACTGGGCACCCATGACTGCACCCAACTGTTTTCCAGGTCTGTTTAAACTTGGCCTTCGGAAGTCCTGAAGCATTCTGGGCTCAAAATACTGTTCTTGGCTTACTGGACCTTGGTGCACAGGTGTCCCTGGGAACTTGCAATTTTGTAGTACCCAGCTTACTCACGGGCCTGTTCAAAATCCAGCACTGGGTACCTGTAACAGCATGCCCTAGTTACCAGCCAGCCTGCTCAGGCCTGGTTCACATGAACATTTCATCATTTGTAATACTGACCCAGAACACTCCCAAGTTTGACTGAATCTCAGGAGGGCCCAGAGACTGCCAAGCACTGGCCCACTTGATTGCCATAGGAAAGACAAAGGTGACCCTGGGCATCCATAAGCTGCAACTTTGGGTCACTGCCCACATGTCCTCCAATCTGGTGCATAGAAACTTCTGAAGACCAATAATTTTGAGTCTTTGGTTGCAGCACAGACCCTGCCAAATGTAGACCTGCTGATGTCCAACAACAAGACGCTGCTCAGGTCCGCTTGAACTGAGCACTTAAAGGCTGGACACCCTCACTGTAGTCAAAAAGTCCATCTTGCAAATTCCTGAGCCTGTCGAAGAGCTTTCCCAACACAGCACCTCAAGCCAGGAGCAGAAAGCAGAAAAAGTCTCTTCAGGAAATGGTGTTCATAATATTAGACAGATGTTAACCCAAAATAGGTGAAAGATTTAAGAGGTAAAATTTGCTCCATGATACGGATTTAGGAGGTATCTCCTGATTCAGCCCCACTGACAAGGGAAACAAAAGCAAAAATAAATAGGGTGACATCAAACTAGAATACTTTTATACTAGGAAAGTAACATGGGGTTGGTGAGAGAAAATACCCACAAACCATACAACTGATAAAGTCCTAAAATACAAGTTATAATATGAGTATGCAGAATACAATAACCAAAAAACAACTACCGCATCACAAACTGGGGAGAAAAACTGAACGGACACTTCAATTGAACAGACATACAGATGGTCAGCGGGATGTGACAAAATAACCTTTGTCACCGTTTATCAGGGAAATGTAAATCAGAGCAATGAAATTAATCCCAAGATCAGTAAGATCAGTAATAGGGCAGAAATAAGTATCTTAAAGGCAGAAACAGAAAGCAGAGTCCTCATTCACCATTGGTGGGAACAAAAGCAACTTCAGTGTCTGTGGAGAACAGTATGGAAAACGTCTCAAAAAGTTAAAAACAGAACTACTTTGTGATTCAGAAATCCCACTCCTATGTATCTATTTCAAGAATATAAAAACACCAATTTGAAAAGATATGCACATACCCATGTTCACTGCAGTGCTATTATAATAATCAAGATCTAGAAATAACCCAAATGTTCCCAACAGATGAGTAGGTAAAGGCTATAGAGGGTGTGTGTGTGTGTGTGTGTGTGTGTGTGTGTGTGTGTGTTTACACACATACATACTGAAATACTTAGAAATGAAGAAATCTCAGAGGTTGGAGAGATAGTACAGGGTTAAGGTGCTTGCCTTACATATGGCCAACCCGGGTCCAATTCCCAGTATCCCTTATGGTCTCCGAAGCCTTGCCAGGAGTGACCTCTGAGTTTAGAGGTCACTCCTGGCAAGGTGTGGCCCCAAAACCAAAAATAAAAAAAAAATTCAAAAAAATCATGCCTTCTGATACAATACAAAACTAGTTATGCCAAGTGAAATAAATCAGAAAGAGAAAGACAAATACTGGATAGTATTGCTCACCTGTGATATATAAGGAAATGAAGCAAGGGAATCGACATTGTACTCTGAAAACAAACCCTCAGACTCTGACCACTGATTTGGGGCTTAGATGGGGGAGGGTTGGTGAAAGGGTCTGGGAGACAAGTAGATAGATACTTTTCTGATGCGATGAATTTGTTAAAGCACATAAACATTAACACTATTGTGTTATCTCAATAAAGAATTAATAACAAAACTACCAAAAAAATAAATGAAAACCAACCCAAACAATCCAGTACTAAAAAATGAGTGCTCGCAGCTTACACTGGTTCAATCCCTGGCACTGCAGATGGTTTTTTGGATCAGTGCCAGAGAGTCACATCTAAGCACAGAATCAGAACAGTCCCCAAACACCACTGGTGTGGCCCCCAAGCCCTACCAAAATGAAAATAGAGTCAAAGACTTGATAGACACCTCACCAAAGAAGTTACATAGATGGCTTCTATAGATGTTCTTTACATGTCATCTCGAAAATGTGAGCTGAAGCAGTGAAACATCACATTTAGTGATATTATCACATCCATTAGACAGTGCAAACTCTACAACACTGACATTACAAAATGTTTGCAAGAATGTGAAGCAATAGAACGCTCATTTGTTGCTGAAAGAAATGCAGAATATGGTAGCGCCACTTTAAGAGAAAATTTGGTCATTTATTCTAACACTAAACTCGCCGCTACTATATTCTGTAGCAAGGTGCACCTTGCTACCTGTCCCCAGAAGATGAAAACCTGTGTCTACACAAAAGCCTGCATTTATATGTTTAGAGGAGCCTCATTCACAATTTCCAAAGGTAGAAGGAGCAACCAAGATGTCTTGTACCCTATATCTTAGATATGTGGTATATCAGACAATGGAATATAATTCAGTGCTTAAAGGAAATGAACCACTGAATCATGAAAAAAAAAAATTGGAGGAAACACCATGCTAATGAGGTCAATCTGAAAAGATTTTATAACATCTAATTCCAAATATTATTACCCTTTAGAAAATATTAAGCTGTGGAGAGAGTAAAAATCTTTAGTAGTTGCCAAGGGTCAGGGTCAGATAGATGAATAGATAGAATACAGAGGATTAATAAGGTGGTAAAAAATTCTCCACATGGTACCACAGTGATACATGCATGCCATTGTGTGTGCCCATGAAACATTACACCACCAAGATGAATCCCCATGTAAACTATAGACATGCATGACATGTCGACAGGGGTTCTCTTTACCTCTCTGGTGGGGTTTTTATTTTGCTAACGAAGGCAGGAGGGCAGGGGACACATGGGAAATTCACTTTCCACTCAATCTTGGCCGTGAACCTAAAACTTCTTTAATACATATTTGTTGATTTCAGAGATTGTTATGTGATACTATTTTTAAATGAAATATACCAAACTTTCAGCACAACATAGAAAAATGTTCCCCCCCCCAGCACACACACATACACACACACACACACACACACACACACACACACACACACAAACAAAGACAATACTATAGTACTTAAAAAGATGATACTTCACAGACTTCAATGTTCTTGGCCAGGAATTTGGAAAGAAGCTTAAAAGCCGAACCACTTAGCTTCATTCCTAAAGACTTTTGTCACCTAACCGGAGAGATTGTCAAAAGCCCAAGAGCCTCTCAATAAAGGTGGAGTAAATTCCCTGCTGGGAGTACATGTTGGCTTTAATTACACATTAATTACTAATCATTACTACTGTTGCCACCGAAAGCTGAGGGTGAAAAAAAGATCCCACATTTTTCACCATTAACTTAATAACATTGTTCTCTAGCAGCAAATGCCTAGTCATCTACTTTTTTGGACACCTGAACTTGGAAAGAGCCAATGTTTTCTAACTTAGAGCACTCTTCCCAGAGGCAGTTCATCAGGTATTCAGAGCAGAGAGGTTTTACTTTAACCAACATCCTTGAAAAAAAGTAAACCCTACTTTGAGCTCTTTTTGTACTCAAAAGTTTTGCAATATCTAATCAGAAGTCAACAAAAAGCTTTCAAATGTAACCGGAAGAGATTTTTCAAAAGTGCTGTCCCTCTCGTCCCTATTCAACTGGGAGGACACCGAAGAAACAAACACAAAGAAAATGTATCTAAAAATGACACCGGAACAGCAAGACATAGAAAGGGGACAGCTCACGCTAGACAAAAGCACTGAAACAGCTGCGCTTCTCACCCCCCTCTTGGCTGGCCAGCTTGGAGCCAAAACTTTACACCTGAACTCTGATTCTCTAACAGAGGGACTGCAAAGCCCACCCGAGAAGACCAAGCAAAAGAACTTGAAAATGCAGCATGCTGTTTGGAAATGCGGGGGTGCCATCATAAAGGTGCTCCTGCCGCTGCTGCTCCAAGAAAGAACAAAATCATGGAAAATCTACAGCAACCTGGGTGGAAGTGGAGGGGATCATGCCGAGAGACGTCAGGCAGAATGAAAGGGACAGATACCGAGTGAGCTCTCTCATTTGTGGGACTTCAAGGATACACAGCGAGAAAGTGACAAAGATCCAAAGACAACACAATGGGGGAACTGGCACACACAACTGAGATCAAGGCGGCTGAGAAGGATGTGGGGTGAAAGGAAGGGAAGGAAGAAGGCTACACTGGTGACGTGTGTGGTGTCAGAATTATGTCCAGGAGAATCCATTAATCATAGTATTGTAAGCCAAAAGTGAATACATAATCACACTGATCACTTGACATCCCGTTACTCATTGATTTGCTCAGTGGGCCCGAGTAACATCTCCATTCATCCCTGTCGAGTGATAGTGTAGCCCAATGGCATCTGCTTGCTCCAGGAACACAAAGAGCCTCAAACCATTCATCCAGGATCTTGAGGAAGAAGTCTGACCATCTTGTAGGTGGGCAGACACGAGATCTTTTGACGTCTTGTGGAATCCAGTCGGTAATAGCTCTAATGGAATGAACATCTCCAAATGCAGCAGTTATGTGTACCTAGGTCGAGAACTCAACATGACGGAAGGACCTGGCATATGAGCTGCGCAGGACGAAAAAAGCAGCGTAGAATGCCTTCAAGAGTGTCGAAGAAATAGCTAAGAGGATGAAGAACCTACAGCTCTGGGCACATCTCTTAGATTCGACTGGTCCACTTTCTGCACTAACATACGCCTCAGAGACCTGGGCCCTATGAAAACAGCATGAGAACACTATTCGGGTCTCCCAAAGAGGAATCGAAAGAGCTATGCTTGGAGTATCACGCTTCACTCAAGTGAGAGAATGAATCCGGAGATCCAACCTCCATCGACGATGGAGAATCAGGGACACTGTCTCCTTTGCCAAGGCGTCGAAAATCAGATGGGTTGGACACAGAATGCTATTTGGAGACGACCGCTGGACTAGAGCCATTACATAAATAATAAGCGCAAAAAAAAAAAGATACTGCTGCTTTGGTATTAGCAAACAGCTTATACCCAGGCAAGGCAGATGAGATGGGACTTGATCCCTCCTATCTGGCAAGATGAGCAGAACAGGGGCAAAGCAAGAAGGAACATTGTGCAATAGAAGAGGAGAAACTAAGAGGTGGCAGGACCATAAACAATGCCATAGATCCATGACCTTGATTTCTACTCTTCCCACTTCATAACTGGTTTGATGTTCTCCAACTCAAAGAGCTGCTGGGTTTTCAATAGTATTTGCACTTCTGGCACAATTTCATTATGTGATTTGGTAATTTAAAAAAAAAATAGTGTCAAGATAAACGCGGCCAACAAGTGATCTGAAACAGAAGAAAAGTCTAACCAGAAGAAAAGAAGTGATCACTGACCAATGAAAATGTTCTCTCTCAAATCTAAAATGACTGATCATCATCAAATAAGTTGGTTTGGAGAAAAAAAAAAGAAAAGAAAAATTCATCCCCAATGAAACCTTGGAAGATATATAATACACTGGTGAGAGACAGACTGCAGTTAACAGCTCCAAATTTTCTCAGTTTTCTCATCTTCCTACCTCTGGAATAAGGGCTGGGTTCTATTACTTCCTTCAGCCAACAGGAAGTAACTAAGTAATCTTGACCCAGTACCAAGCCCAGGTTCACAGAGGTTGTACCCGTCAGCTCTATGTCTCCATATCCTGCTGTCTTGAACAAATTGGGGCCAACATGCCAGTGGGTAAGACACTCTATGAAGCAAAGTCAAGGTCACAGGCATGTGAATGAGCTAAGTTGAGATCAGCCGATCATTCTATAACTGATCAGAGATATGAACACTTCAACTACATAAAAGAAATTTGCTGGGTGTTCCATAGACTCACAAAGACAAATAATTATTATTCTGAGTCACTGATCTACAACCATGCTGGATTCAGTGTCTTTTTGACGTAAACTGGTTCTAGACCAATCTGTAGGATTTAACGCCAAGTGTTAACACCAAGTGAAGAAGTCGTAATTCTACTGTGCCTTTTCTCTATTTTCTAACTTCTATTCCACCAAAAACGTTCCCTCACAAGTCAGCTTACCATCACTTTTTCCATCCTGTTGGGGATAGGAGTTGTAGAACATTCCCTTCCCATCATGGGTCCAGGCCATACAGCTGAACTTGACTCTTTCAAGCACATCTGGAAGCTCTTTGGCACCATCAACTTTCATGAACTTGATAGTCACCCAATCAGAGCCACTGGAACTTAGACCATAGGCAAAATATTCACCATCTTCGCTGAAGGCATAGCCTGTGGAACACAAGGGAAATTGCAGAACAAACATGAGCATACAATGCCTCACCTAAGCTCGTCTCTCTTTCTCTCTCTCTCTCTCTCTCTCTCTCTCTCTCTCTCTCTCTCCTGACAAAGCTAAAGTTCTCTCTCACACCTGGAAGCAGAATATGGCAACAGAAGGAGCTAGAAAACTGGCAAGGGAGAAACTCAGGGGCTGATTCCAGCTCCTATGGGAGTTTGTCTTCTGATTAGGTAAGTTTCCTAGCCTGTTGAGTGTTTTCATCTATAAAATGAAGTATATGATCATCTGACTGCAGGCATGCTTCCACTCTTTAATTTCTATAATCCCAAAGGCAGTTCAGTTAAAAGCAGGGCTCCCTCTGGGATTTGCAGGATACTTGACTCATACACTAACAGGAAGATGGGGAAAACCACTGCTTTAGGAGTAAGGAATGATTATTTACATACACAAACACAGAACAAGTCTGGAGTCATCAGGTGATGCTTGAAACATATTCACTCTATTTGAAACCATTCTACATCCTCTTTTTCTGAACACTGCTGACACTCAAGGATTAATGTCTACACTATCTGAACACCATCATATCAAGTAAGTTCTAAGGGTTTGAAAAAAAAAGGTTCACATGATAGTGTAAATTCCAGACTGACAAGGAAATTCAAAATATGTATATATATATATTTTTTTTTCCCCTTTTTCTTTCTCTCTCCTTTTCTCTTTTCTTTTCCGGGACCAGAAGTACTCAGGAGCTATTCCCAGCTGTTGCTCTAGGGTTGCTCGAGGCAGTGTTGGGGCATCATATGTGGTATCAGGGACCAAAACAGGGCCTCCTACATGCAAACTTGTTTTCAGCCCGCTGGCTAACTTGTCTCTTTGGCCCTTGCACCTAATTCCTTATTGCCATGACAGATGGAATGATCTAGCCACTAATGGAATGTTTACTGACAAATATTGATGAGTTTATATTGGTTTTCCTACATTTTTGTTGAGCCACACCCAGAGGTGCTCAGGTCTTACTCCTGGCTCAGTGGTCAAGGATCAATCCTGATAGGGCTCAGGGTGCCAGCGAGCAAACCTGGGCTTACCACATGCAAGGCAAGCATCTGACCTGGTATTACTATTTGTTCCGGTTTTGATAATTATTACAAATTAGTAAGTATAAAATAATAGGACAGCAGCATTTGATACCAGACACTGATAAGAGAGATTTCCTCTAGTAAAGTTTGCTAAATTCTAGGGGCAGGGGAAGGTGTTTGAAATTATTCTAAAATACCCACTATTTTCAGAAGATCTGAACTTTATTTTTTTCCTATTAATGGAAAATAACCTTAAAACTTTATCAAAGCCCACTTAAAATTTCTGTAATATATTCAGGGTTATATGTAAATACATACCGGCAAGAAGTCTAAATGGTCACAGGGAAAAAAATATTCACTTTTTATATAACTCACGTTATATAAATGTCTTCCCGTTGTTCATCAATTTGCTCAAGTGGGCCCAGTAATGTCTCCACTGTAAGACTTGTTGTTACTATGTCTGGCATATCGAATATGTCAAGGGTAGCTTGCCAGGCTTTACCATGCAGGTGAGATACTCTCGGTAGCTTACTGGGCTCTCAGAGAGGGGCAGAGGAATCAAAGCCGGGGTGGCCAGGTCAGCTGCATGCAAAGCAAATGCTCTACCTGTTGTGCTATCTCTCCAGCCCAAATAATATAATAAATAAATAAATGAAAGAACAGAGAAAAACATGAGACCCTGTTTTCAAAATAGAAATCTCCTGGGTGAATTGCAAGATTAACCTTAGTTGAAACTAAATGAATTCCTATGCAGGTTCTATTACTGCAGAAAACCAGTGTATTAAGCTCATTTATAACTCCAAGCTCAAATTCATAGAGGAACACTCGTAAACGGGCTGGCATCTTACTTTCAAGACTTAGTCTAAGGAACTGTCATTTACCAACTGCTTGGGAAGAGGAAGAGGAATCCCTTAGGACTGGATGATTTAATCAAAGACCCTTTTGCACTAAACTGTTGGGATATTTTTTTTGTCCTTCTCTTGGTGCCAGGAATTGAATCCAGATTTGCCCATGTGCAAGGCACATGCCATTTAACCCAGCCTTCGCCCTGAACCCCTGCATGGCTTTAGTTCCCCTGGGAAGGTGAATCCCCACCTGCTAGGTTACAGAACTCTGCCCTTCAGATTGCTCAGCTCTGCACCTGTGCTTTTCCTGCAACACACTAAATAAATAAATAAATCTGAACTTTGGTTTTTTTTCTATCAATGGAAAATAATAGAAAATTATAGATAATAATGCTGCAGGAGAAATGCTGCGCTAACACTGGTGGGAGATGATTCTCAGGGCAGGCGATGACTATACCAGAGGATCACAGAACAGCCATGTTTCTCATGAATTTCATCAGTCTTTCCCAAGCAGGCAGTAACCACCAGAGGAGGGGTGCTGGATCCACCCTGGGGGCTGAGTGTCGGAACAACCCTGAGGGGGGGGTGACAGTCTAACTGGGAGCACTTTCTATTCGTTCTCCTATAAACAGATTTCCAAGATCCAGGAGGGTGTCAGGTAATGTCTGTGTGTGCGTGTGTGTGTGTGTATATATACATATATATATATATATATATACACACACACATATATATATAATTTTTTTTTTTTCTGAAAACAAGATGGGAGTTTGGGCACATCAATCCTCCCAGGGTAACATTTGGAGGAGGGAGGGAATATCTTGTGGTGTTCTGGGAAACATGTGGTGTCGGAGATCAAAGTGGGATCTCTTGCAATGCAAAGCATGTGCCCCAGCCCAATGAGCTCACTTTCGAGGCCCTGGTATGATAATCTTTAGGGCCGGCGGATGAGGTTATCTTGGGGGCAAAGCTATTTAAGTAAGAGACATACAGTGATGGCAGGCAAACGTCTCTGTTCAGTTTTAAACGTGTATCTTCAGGGAACTGAGAACCAGCTGTCCAATTTCTACAATACTGAATTCTCCCCCCCCCCCCCCCTTATCTCTTAATTCTAACACACTGGCCATAATCTAAATTTTAAGGCTCTTATCACTGCCCTCCCCAAGGGCAGAGAGCTGATAACTAGTCCTTCCAATTTTGAGTTGCTAGATTGGAACACTTCTTGTCTGTGTTTTAATGTCTCACCAGATGATTCAAGTTTTTCTATCAGTGCTAGCTTGCAGAGTTAGCATCGGCGAAGACGGTTCGACTTCCAGGGCCCAGAAACCTGGAGAGCTAATTTGGGTCCAGTGTGAATTACACTCCAGTGAGGCTTCATACCATCCCAAGAATGTGCTACCTGTATGATCTAAAAATACTGTGCGGAGCGAGCTTCCCTGCCAGGGTGGGTGCAGCTGCGCCTCAGAACTGTCCCCACAATGGTGCGTGCCCACTGTCTGGAGCTCCTCAGGTGGGAGGCCTCCACGCACTCCGTACTGCTGCCGCCGACCCCGGGACCTCACCTCGCAGCGCCACCGTGCCATCATCAGAGAGCGTGTTGGGGTCCAGGAACACTCGGGCTTCCCCCTCTAAGGAATCCTGTACGTATAATACTCGCTGGTTCTGCAACCCTGTGTTGTAAAAATAGAAATACCTGGAGGACAGAGAAGGCTTCTGTTTAGTTAGGGGGTTTTCGATTTGTAGAAAAGAAACTAAATACACAGTGTGCAAAGAACTAAATACACAGAGACAAGCGAAAGAAACACAGCAATACAAAGGTTCGACGGCAAACAGGCCAGGCCGGGAGCACAGGCCGCAGCTAGAGCATGCCCCCTGAACTGCTTTAGGTATTCAAACCATGGCCTGTCATTCTGGACACGGTACCAATATTAACATCTGTATTATTATTCACAGAAGTATGTTAAGCTGCAGTAAGTATATTGATCTATTTTCACTTGTTCATATTAAAACACACACAGACAGCTAAACAGAGGCAAAGACTGCTTTACAGGTGAAAGTTATGATTACTATTCCAAGAAAGTATAACATTTGGATGTCACAGCAAAATGAAAATTAAGGATTAGTTGGATCGAACCTTGTATGAAACACAGAAATTCATTAATATAAGAATCCAGTGACGTCTGTATACACATCTATGATTTTAATTGCCCAGTGTTGCTGGGCAGTGGGGGAGGCACTAGGGTCACCTGGGGGTGGTGACCAAGTCAGGGGGCCAAGTGATGCGTGGGATTGAACCTGGGGCCCCATGCACCAAGTTCTGTGTTCTATCTTCTCAGCCACATCCCTGATCCATAAAGATTGTCTTATTGACCTGTGTGCTTTTATGCCTTTGAGCAGTAAACTATATAAGCTGTAGTGACTTTTTCTTTTCAGTAAACAGAGCAGATTTTCTAAAATGAAATGCTTCCCTAGCCAGCTTACTGAAACCAGGATCTGTAAGCCAACACCCCTCCCCCACCACACACACACACACACACACACACACACACACACACACACACACCCTTTTCCCCTTTTTTTTCCATTTTGGGTCACACTGGTGATGCTCAGGGGTTATTCCTGGCTCTGCATGCAGGAATGAATCCTGTCGGTGCTTGGGGAACCATATGGGTTGCCAGGGATCAAACTCAAGTCGACCACATACAAGGCAAAAGCCCTACCCCCTGTACTATACTTTTCCAACCCACGTCTAACATTCCAAAGTAAATTTAGGACAGTGACTCCACTGAAACTGAGAAAAAGAACTAGGGAACATACTTACGTGGGTGAAAAAAGTAGAATAAGAGGGATGAATAATTAGGTGTTGCCTCTTGGCCCATTTCAATTCTTACAAGAAATGCATGTAACAAAAATTCAAGTAGTATAAGCCAAAGATAATTAATCTTATTGGCAAAGAAATCTCTCCTGTCATCTATAAATCCTATCTCTCAAATTACTAAGCCATAGGAGAACAAGAATTTCCAGTAATCTAGAGTTCTTCTTATGATAAAGCTCTCCTACTTTTCTTAATCCTGACTTGAAGAATTTGGACAGTACCAACAGTCAATAAAGTATCACTTTTATATTCGAGCACAGGACGAAATTGGTTTCAAAGAATTCAACTAACAAATTAAGTTCCTGAGGATTTATCTTTACTAATTTTTAGAAATACTCAGAGCAAGAAAGAGAAAGGAAAATTAAGAAATGAAAACAAGCTCACATACCGCTTTCCTTTCTTGAAATGGCAACTGTACTTGGGGTAGTCATAGAGCTCAGTCATTCTCTCTTTGTAAAGGCCTCGGATAGGACACTGCTCAAGGAATGGCACCGTGATCTTGTTCTGGGCCTCCACAAAAGCCTAAAAAAGAACATGACAATGGGAAAAGCAAATCAAACATGAAACGTCCTCCCTCGAATGTTAGCCAGTCACACAGATCCTCCTCAACAATAAGCAATCTCAACTCACTTCAAAGTCAGTCTTACCAAGCAACGCAGTTTTATTAGCTTAGCTTTACTGACCTGAGACTCGAGAATGCTACGAGTCTGTCCAAAAGCTGAGACCATTTTCTCACTGCTCCCAGCAGGCACGGTCCACAAACACTCATATATCAGGGCAACTTCACCTGATGCCCACCCTTCTTTCTCTCTGCCCCTGTCTGCTGAAGTCAAAGAATCAAAGTTGGTGCTATAGGGCGCAAGAGCATGTGTTTTGTTTAAGACTTAATTTTCTAATGCCTACTACATGGTCAATTCCAGGGAACTCTGCAAAAACCTGAAAACTAAAAAAACAAAATTGAAAAAAATTGCAAATGGGTTGCACTGAACAAGAATTTCAAATACAGTTTATAGGAAGATGGCTTGCAAGACAGGCCAGAGATGGCTTAAAAGAAGTCAGGGACTCTGCAACAAAGCCGAGCAAGGAGTTGTTTGTTTTTGTTTCACACTGGATGGGATGTGTCTAACTACCCAGCGCTGATAACTAAGCAGTTAGAATATTTACAACAACCACTATAAAAAGTTGGCCTCATAAAAATCCACATGTACCTATTTGGAAGAAATAAAACAAGAATAAATGTGTTGGGCTCTAAATTCAATGGGAGGTTTAATCAGAGATCTGTGAGCAGATTAATTTCTTAGGAGAAAACTTCAGGAAACAACAACAAAACGTATTTTGAACAGCAGACAAAAACACAATGATGATGCGAGCCTACTCTTGGAAGGATCAGTTAAGGTCTAAGGGCCCATTCTAGCTTGAAAAGATCTTCTAATGAGCTCTCCTACACAAACCACCCACCTCACACCAGAGCACCAAAAAGAAAGCAGTTCTAAAAACTCATTAACATTTGGAATGCGCTTGAAAAACTGGAGAGAAAGCGTGCAAGGGACTAGGGCCAGCTCTGCTAAGAGCTCACTCCTGGCTTTACAACTGAGGGATCACTCTTGGCAGGGCTGAGGAGACCACCTGGGGTGCTGCGGCTCAAACCAGGGTCAGCCACAAGTGAGCCCAAAGCCCTCCCTGCTCTGACCCCTACACAACAATTTTTGCAAGTAGACCAAGTCAAGAAAAATGATACTCGACTCTGCTTATTTTTATTTAGACACAAAATATTCATCCTCCGGTGTTTTGGAAACTTAAGAAAGGAGCCATCACTTATCCCGGGAGGTACCTTACATGCAGCCAGACAAGAGGTTAGAGTTCTCCAGGGAGGGAGACACTTATTCCAAGGAGGGCAGCCTGAGAGGCCCCCGCCCCCCCCCCCCCCATAGGGGTTTTCAGTTGTGGTGAGAGGGCGCAGCCCTGCAAAGATGGGGACCAGCAGCAGCAAATGCCAGGCCCTGGGGCAGGGGAGCCCGAGGGCGTGAAAGATAAGAGGGTCAGCAAGGCCCGAGAGAGCAAGGGAGGATACAGCAGTCACGCACAGAGGCACAGAGATGTGGGTAGGAGCGAGACCACCTACAGGCCACCTGCGAGACCACGTAGCACCACCTGGGACCCATGAGGTCTGGCCTGCTCTAAGATAATGCAAACCAGGGGGGAATTCCCCGGGTGTAGTGATGTGCGTTAAGAAAGCATTTAAGACATTTTAGCTCCTTGAACACTGATTTTGCTGTGTTGTTAATTTGAGTCGGGAGAATGCAAGCCAGTCTTTTAAGTATTGCTCTATTTAAAGTTAGGGACTAACGTTGGTGGGTGGGAGGTGACAAATTTGGATGTACCACCCTAGAATTCTTCAGGAGCACTATTACGCCTGCTGCAGTGGTTGTATGGACATTTTTTAAGAAGAGGCAGTGTGTCTAGTTTTAGCAGAAAATGGACATTTTAAGGAGGAAAGCTGATGTATCTGTTTTAGCGGAGGGGGGGGAGGGGAGGGGGGCAGGGGGCACACCCAACAATGTGTTTCTTTGAGCTGAAGCCCCGATGGTCATGTAGCAGCTGGGATTGTACTGTGTATGAGAAGAGCTCTGCTGCCTCCTCTGAGCATAGATGGGGGGAGGGGGGCAGACATATCTGCAGGGTACCTCCCCCCACCCCCACCCCTGCACATGACTGCTGTATCCTCCCTTGCTCTCTCTGGGTCTTGCTGACCCTCTGATCTTTTTTTAAGAAGGGAAGAAGGCACACCAAGAGATGCTCAAGGCTTATTCCTGACTGCCATCAATCACTCCTGGTGATGCTCAGGGATTGAACCTGGGTTGGCAACAAGCAAGGCAAGTGACTAAACCCCTTCCGGGGGGTTCAGGAAGTCCTAGTTGTCTGGCCCATGAAAACTCAAATCCGTTTTTATGACGGGGATGGCAAACTTTCTGTGCAGGGCTTTTGTGAGTTTTGGGATTCCATTATATGCCAGTCATATTTCTTATCATTTAACCTCGAAAATAGCTACCTGGCCATTTTTATGGATTTAATCATCTAGCTTCTTGGTCTGAAAATTAGGACAAATCTGTGGAAAAGGGAGAACATGAATAAGGATAGAGGAAAAACATGAGAGGAGTAAAGCCTATAGAGCACTTGCATGTGGCCACCCTGAGTTCGATCCCCAGCATCCCATTTGGTCCCCGAGCATTGCCAGGAGTAATTCCATGTTTGCAGAGCCAGGAGTGACCCATGAGCACCACCAGATGTGGCCAAAAAAAAAAAAAGAGATGACCAGGAGGAAGGGGGACCTAGGAAGTGGCCCAAAAGGTACATGCCTTGCATGCACAAGACCCGAGTTTGATTGGTGCCCAGCTGAACACTGCAGGGTGTGGTTCTGGTTTCCTCTACACAGCTAGACCCAGCAATTAACCATTAGGACAGGCACTTCCCAGGGCTCCCAAACACAGGGGAGGCCCCAAATGAATAAAATAGAAAACTAAAAATGTGTGTCGGGAGGAGAGATGGCACCAGGGACGTGGCTCAACCACAGAGCACTTTGCCATGCAGCTGTCTCCAACAGTTTGTGGGTTCAATCTCCAGTAGCACATAAAAGGAAGTCACGGTCACGGTCCTCCCGGAGTTCATCGATTTGCTCGAGCGGGCCCAGTAACGTCTCCATCATGAGACTTGTTACTGTGTTTGGCATATCAAATACGTCATGGGTAGCTTGCCAGGCTCTGCCATGCGGGCGAGATACTCTCGGTAGCTTGCCGGGCTCTCCGGGAGGGGTGGAGAAATTGAACTCGGATCGGCCATGTTGGCCGCTTGTAAGGCAAATGCCCTACCACTGTGCTATCGCTCCAGCCCAGCACATAAAAGATAAGCAGAAAGGGGACGGAGAGAGCACAGCAGGTCATATACTATCTAGGTAGTATAGATTGTAAAGCTCTTGCCGTGCACGCGGACATCCCAAGTTCTATCCTCAGCACCCCAGATGGTCTCCTGAGTGATCAGGAGTTATTCCTGAGCACCGCTGGGTGTGGCCCAAACACCAAAAGGAAAAAGAGAAAGAGATACACAGAGGGACCTGTAGGTGGGACCCACTCAGCCACGGAAATGACCTCCCTCCACTCTTGTCCAGGACCAGTAAAGTATATGCATACTGCAAGTCACATCCCACACACTTTGGGGACTTTCTGCTGCCAATGATACACGTAGGTGTAAGCAGTAATTAAATAATGTAACTAGCTACATTTGGATTACTAAGTACATGTAGATGTGGATGATTTACTAAAGCACCCATCAAGGCCTGGTGGGAAAGCAGGCTGACCGGAGGGAACAGCGCCTCCTGGAGGCCAGTGAACGAAACACCCGTGAGCTGGTCTGAGGTTTGTTCTCACCACACAGGCAGTGGCTGGCTCTTAGCTCTGCATTCGGGAATGTTCTGGCATAAACCCGGAGACAAGTGTTCACTGCCTGAGTATGCTGGGTGCTGCCAGGCAGGGACCACGCCAAGGTACCTCTTGTCCAGATGAGGTGCTCCAGACTCAGACACAAAGGTGGGGTCTAGAGAGTGGCTGTGATCCCATCAGTAAGTCTGGGAATGTTCTTCTGTCTCGCTCAACTTTGGGTGTTTCTAGGTACTGATAGTCGGCACGACCATGTGTCTGAGGGAACGTTACGAACTACGCCAACCTCTTCCTACACCCTTACTAGAAAGTAACCCTGCTTACACCGTCAGGAAGACAGTCTTGACAACAATTCCCTACAGGCGGAGGGTAATGAAGAGAACCCACTCAAGAGACCAAAACCTTCCTTCAGGAACAGGCCCTGGAAGGTAGATGTGATCTCATCCTCGGGGGCAATAAGGACTGTGTGAGCCTACGAGAGGCAAGGCCCCTCCTTTCCTGCCACAGGTGACAGGGTGGGATGGGACGCAAACCGTCAGAGAAAGGCAGATGAGCTGCACTGCACTGTAGCACTGTCCTCCTGTTGTTCATCGATTTGCTCGAGCGGGGGCCCAGTAACGTCTCCATTGTGAGACTTGTTGTTACTGTGTTTGGCATACTGAATACGTCATGGGTAGCTTGCCAAGCTTTGCAGATGAGCTAAGAGGCAAAAAGGGGAAGTTTCCAGAAATATCACACACACACACACACACACACACACACACACGCACTCGCGCGCTTCTGGATCCAGTCCAGACCCTAGTCTTCAATTATGTGAGCTACTTAGCTCCTTTCTTTGGGAGCTCGGCAGAGCTGGGCTGCGGGCCCCCTCATCCAGACTTCTAATCCAGTTCTTCCAAATGACCTTCGGTCGGATGAATAAGCAGAGGCTGGTGGGGCAGGAGAGTGGGAAGAGGAGGAAGTGAAAGGCAACTTACCCGAGGGCAGGCCGGGCAGGCCGGGGAAGGAAAGGCTATGTACTCTAAAGGTGGTCTATCAGGAAGTGAGGAACTGGGGGGTGGGGGGAGGAATAAACTATATCTTCAAACAAAA